TCTGCATAATAGGAGGGATACCCAGGGCTGGAGGTGACCAGTGTGGGTGGTCCATACAAGGGTCATTTCTGAGCTCTTGTGACTGAGGAAGCCCCCAGACAAAGCCTCAGCTGTACAGTGCAAGTCAGGTGACTGTTATTTGTGACCAGCCCTGAACTTGTCAAGCTGCAGAGACAAAATAAAATTTACTCCCCTTTTCTTCCCGAGGAAACATAATTAGCCATAAGCTAGACGTCATGTGAACTGTGTAGAAGGGATTTTGGACACATCACACTTAGAATGGCTCACAAGCTAACCCCCAGAGGGCCGCAAGATGGCTGTTAGGTGATATTAATGCTCAGTAACTGCAGACCCTACTCACTGTCATCAGTGCTTCTGTGTCCAGGGAGACTGCAGTTTTCCTGGGATGCGTCATCTGTCTCACTAGGGCCAGATGCATGGAGGAGGCCAGGCCAGGCCAACACTGTTCCCACTTGGCTTTTGCAGTAGAGAGAAGCCTTTTCTCCCCCCCCCTTTTTTTTTTGTGGTGCTGGGATTGAACTTGGAGACTTGTATGTGCTACATGAGTGCTCTCCACTGAGCTACACACCCAGCCCATATGTCTTCATTTTTTTTCTTCTCAAGACTAGCACTCTACCACTTGAGCCACACTTCCACTTCTGGCTTTTTGATAGCTAATTGGAGATAAGAGTCTTGTGGACTTTCCTGCCCAGGCTGGCTTTGAACCATGATCGTCAGGTCTCAGCCTCCTAAGTGGCTAGGATCACAGGCCTGAGCCACTGGCTCTTGGTTCAACAGAGACTTAATACATAACTCATGCCAGCCTTGAAGTCATTGTTCTCTGCTTTCATCTACTGAACGCTGGGATCCCATGCATGTACTACCATATCCTGTCATGTTATGTTTTTCTTTTCTTTTGGCCAGTCTTGAGGCTTGAACTCAGGGCCTGGGAACTGTCCCTGAGCTTCTTTTGCTCAAGGCTAGCACTCTACCACTTGAACCACAGTGCACTTCTGGCTTTTTCTCTGTATGTGGTACTGAAGTATTGAATTCAGGGTTCATGCATGCTAGGCGAGCTCTCTACCACTAAGCCACCTTCCCAGGCCCCCCATCTTTAGGAGAGATCCTCGATTCTCTAGTGAATACCTGAGGAGAAGCACCTTAGCCACGCGGGCCCAAGGTAGTGGCTGGGAGAGGTGCCCACTCAGTAATACTGGGGAGAGAGAGAAAGAGAGAGAGTGAGAGAGAGAGAGAGAGTGTATGTGTGTGTGTGTGTGTGTGTGAATGTATAAATTAGGAACAGTGATTCACAATATTAATACTTATCAAATAAATAATATCAAATAAAACAGTTATAGAAATATCCTATAATAGAAAATAGGTGAAGCTGGGCGCTGGTGGCTCACACCTGTAATCCTAGCTACTCATGGAGGCTGAGATCTGAGGATCATGGCTCAAAGCCAGCCCAGGCAGGGAAGTCTGTGAGATTCTTATCTCCAATTAACCACCAGAAAACTGGAAGTGGTACTGTGGCTCAAGTGGTGGAGTGCTAGCCTTGAGCAAAAGAGCTCTGGGACAGTGCCCAGGCCCTGAGTTCAAGCCTCATGACCTAAAAATAAATAAGTGAATGTTATCTCTCTTTTACTCTTTCTGTGGTGGTATGAGAACATACAGTGTCTTGGGCACAATGAAGTGTTGTGAATCTTGGGCGCTGTGATAGAGCTTTAATCCAGTGGGCCAGGGCTCCTTGAACACCAGGCTGTGACACTGATTCCGTGGTAGTTGATCTGGTGCCCAAGCTGACTAAATAATAACCTGTGGGTAGCGCATTCAGTAGAGACATGAGAGAGAGGGCCGGCTCAGGCCTCAGGTGGGACAGGGAGGGGATGGGGTGAGACTTCGTTATACCAGTCGAGACTGGACAGTTCAAAACTCACAAGATGTCTCTTTCTGGTTGACTACAGGTAACCAAAACTGTGGCTAAGGGGGTTCTTGAATGAGCTCAGGTTCTTAGTCCCAGTATTGCCTATCAGTCCTTCAGAACCATTAGGAGCATGCTGATTGGCTAGTGGTAATCTAAATGGTGTGTCCGACATTCCTGAACCTCTTTCTAATTTTCTAGGCCATCTTAGCGGCTCAAAGACGAGGTGAAGATGTGGAGACATCCAAGAAATGTAGGTACTTGCGTTTCTGCTTGCAAAATAAGAATGTGTTACGGGGTCATGTGCCTGAGATGTGGCCAGATAGTTTGCCAGGGACCTCTGGGGAGCCAGTGGCTTGCAGCTGCTGACAGCCAGGAAGGGTGGATGGTCTCTCCAGCCCAGTGCAGGGTGAGGTCATTAGGGACTGTTACCTTCCTCCTACCAAGAGCAGCGTGGACTGTGTGCTTATGTCTGATCTGAGGCAGCGTGGCTGCCGTCGTCATTGGGAAAGCCTGTTGGTCTGGACGCCATTCTGTTATATTTTGATTCTGCTACTGGGACTTGGACTCGGAGCTTTACACTCTCACTTGTTTTTTTTCCACTGAAGGCTGGCACTCTACCACTTGAGCCACAGCTCTACTTCTGGTTTGGTGATGAATTGGAGATAAGAGTCCCATGGACTTTTCTGCCTAGGTTGGCTTCAATCCATGCAACCTCAGATCTCAGCATCCTGAGTGGCTAGGATTACAGGAGTGAGCTATCAGCGCCTGGCTTGGACACCATTCTGAAATCATTTTTTCCTGTGTAAACTGCACATCCTCTACTCTGTTTGTGCTGTTCAGGGGCTGCTGGCCAGAACAAGCAGCATTCAATCACCAAGAACACAGCCAAGCTAGACCGGGAGACAGAGGAGCTGCACCACGACAGGGTGACCCTGGAAGTGGGCAAGGTGATCCAGCGAGGCCGGCAGAGCAACGGGCTGACGCAGAAGGACCTGGCCACGGTGAGGCTCTGGCAGCTCGGCCTGGGGAGATGGGGGGGTGGGGGGGACTACCCGCCTGGGGGCTTTGGGATCTCCACTTTGGCCTCACCAGAACCTCTGGGTGGGCCAGGTCAGAGTGGCAGCAGCTTCTTGATAAGCTCTGTCTGTTGATGGTGAGACCCAAGCCCCAGAGGCACATCTGGGCTTCTCTCCAGGCCCTCCCTCGGCCTGCGTGGCTAAGGTGCCTCTTCTCCTCAGAAAATCAATGAAAAGCCTCAAGTCATTGCAGACTATGAGAGTGGACGCGCCATCCCGAATAACCAGGTTCTGGGCAAAATCGAGAGAGCCATTGGTGAGTGCTCTGTTGCAAGGCCTTGGCCAGGCCTTCCTGGGGTGGACACTGAGGACCAGGGCCCAATGTCCATTCTGCCCAAGAGCTTTCCCTAAGAAAGCAGCGTTTGGGGTTCCCGCACATGCCGTGCTCGGCTCCTGCCACGCCCCTCCATGGCAGCCAGACTCCGTGTTCCAGTGCTTCTGGGACTACGCGTTCATCTGTCTTCTCAGATCATTAGCTCCTGCTCTTGAAAATTGAACTGGAAAGCTGGTCATGTGTGTGTGGAGGAACAGGGCGTGTGCCCCGCCTCCCAGCCCCAGGAGGCCCGGAGGGCCTCTCAGGACCTAGGGAGTTGGTACTGAGATAGAGGAGGCGGCCTGCTGAGCAGGCCCCGTGGGCTGCCCCAGACTCAGGCACGCACTGCCTCGTTTCAGGCCTCAAGCTCCGGGGAAAGGACATCGGAAAGCCCATCGAGAAGGGGCCACGGGCGAAATGAGCACAAAGCCTCGAAGCCAGTGCGTTCCGGCTGAGCTCTTCTGGTTGGTCCCTGACCACCAGCACTGCTGTGGGTCTCCCAGGTGGTGGAGCGGAACATGGGGGCAGGGCCGTGGGCCCCCTTGACCCATACCTGCTGTCAAACAAAGCAAAACCTTGCAAAGTACCGGCCCCACTCTTTTCTCCCTGCCTGTCTCTTGTACCGGAGTGAGGCTGAGAACTTGCCTCGGTAGGTGTCTGCCCGTCTGCCCAAGGCTTGGGGAATTCTGGGGACCCCTGTGGGAGGCAGGGGCCATGGTCAGTGCCCTTCCTGCTGGTGAGAAGCTGTGGGCAGCCCTGCTGTGTCCTTTAGGTCGCCTTGGCCAGCGGGGGAAGGGAGCTGGGGAGCTGAGGATGAATGGCTCCGCAGGGCTGTCTCCTTTTTATCCTCTGCCCAGTGGACATCACAGTCACCTTGGCCGTGTCCCAGTGTTGCGCCCCCAGTGTGGCTGGGCCCTTGCACAGGCAGGGGCCGGCCACCGCCTCTTAGGTCAGATGTGTCCATGAGCAGGTGGTGTGGCAGGAGGGGCACTCCTGGCTGCCTGGGTGTGAGGTCTCCGCCCTCCCCGCCCTGTGTCCTGCAGTGGGCCGGAGCCTCAGGCCACCCTGCGGTAGAGATGTCCACACCCTGGTTCTGGGCAGGTGTCACCACCCTCAGGCCAGGGCCGGCTCCCCATGACCTCATGGGAGTGGGAGGCTGCCAGGGTCCTTCGCGTGGCCACTCACAGCCCTGGGACTGCCCTGGAGGCAGGGCCTCTGTCAGGAACGGGGCGTGGGGCCTTTGTGGAACATGCACCAGGCCCCTTCTGGGGGAGCAGCGGTGTGGGCGCCTCGGGCGGAGGGCGGTATTCCTCCACCGCGCCGCCACCGGCCATCGGGAAGTCACCCTGTCCAGAGCTCCTCAGGCCTGCAGCATCCCCGTCCCTGTGAGGTGGCCCTCCCCAGTGGGTGCAAAACAAGCTAGCACGTCGGGGATCGTGTGCCAGCCTGGCCCGTGTCTGCCTGGAGTCCGCCTGCTTCCCCACCGGAGGCCCTCTGCAGAGTCACCTCTCCACCTGTGTGTCACAGCACGGAGCGTCCCAGCATGCTCCCCAGGGCCTTGAACTTTCGCAGCCACCCACCCGCCGGCCAGAGTACGCCAACACTGACCTCAGGCTGAGCTGCTGTGGGCACTGGTGTTTATTCACAGTACAGCAGCTACCCAGTAGGCAGTCACTGCATGGGAAGGGGGCCCCGGAAGTGTGGCATGTCCCACCGAGTGCCCCAGCCTGAGGGGATGCCATGTCCACGTTCTTGGCTGAGGTCTGACCAAATGCTGGGGACAGGGCCATGTCTGGAGTGGTCTACGGGGTGCTGGTGACAGACTCTGGGAGAGTGACTCGATCCTGGGAGGAAGGAAGGAGCTCTGGTCCCCCGCAGGTGGGATGGAGCAGGGCGGCAGGCTGTTTACCCTGCAGTGGTCCAGGGCACCTCTCCCCGGGGTGGGCAGGGGCAGGCTCTGGTTCACCATGTGGGGCTCCTACCGCATTGAAGAGGATGTTATCAAAGCCAGGGGCTGCGGCGCCTGTGCCCCTTGGGAAGTAGCAGCCCCTCTGCAGCCAGTGCCGGGCCCCCAGGCCCAGGAGCACCAGGAGCAAGAGGAAGACGAGCGCGCCGCCCACCGCAGCCGGCACCGGCACCGGCACTGGCATGGTCGTGTCCCCTGGAGGCCAGAGGGGTTGTGATGCTGGGACTCGAGGCCCCATCCGGATGTTGGGGTCTGGCACCCCCCAGCTGTAGAGGGCGCTAGGGCAGGGCTGTCCTGTCAGTACCAGGCTGCAGACCTGGGAACCTAGGTCCACCCCTTCCTCAGTTCAACAGCCACAAGCGCCCCGCACACAGACCCCGCCACGCACCGCCCCAACCCGCAGTGCGTCCAGGCACAGGAAGCAGGAGCCCACAGGCAGGGGCCGGGCCAAGGGGGGGCAGAGGAGGCTCCTCACGGAGGGCCCAGCCCAGGCAGGCGGGGGCCACTGGGGAGGGCAGGTGGGGTTCCCGCGGTTCTGGCTTCCTACGCTGCGTTGGGGGCGACCCAGACCACCGTAGACCAGAGCAGATTGGGATCCTACCCCCCCACCCCCCAGCCATGTGCAGCAGGAGCTCACCTTGGCTAGGTGTAGGCTGCTGGCAGTGCTGCCCGGCCAGGTACTCGACGTCATCAAGGGCAATGGGCCCCTCAGCCGGCTGCCCACTCAGAGTGGCTTCAAACACAATCTGAGGTAGGAAGATGCTTTGAGGACCTGGGAGCGTGGAAAGGGAAGAAGGAAGGGAGCCAACTGGGGCGATGGCGCGGCATCCCCGGGGCCCTCACCTGGAACTCTTCCGTGCTGGCCAGCTCCACCTGCGCTTGAAGCCACTGCTGCCGCAGGCGTCCTCCTTCGCCCCACACGGCCAGCTGGCCCTGGGCACTGCTGAGCAGCACCCTCAGCTCGCCCTTGTCTGGCAGCGGAGCCCCATGGGTCAGGCCCCTTGGAGGAGGCCCCACCCTCAGCCCTGACCCCCCTTCCCTTAGCCCCAACCCCACTCACAGAAGTGCTCGGGGAAGCCCATGTGGTACCAGAAGCGGAGGCAAGAGGCCGCAGTCGCGGGCAGCGGCTCACTGCACAGCCAGGCCGCCCGGCCCCCAGTGCCCAGCACCCCGGTTTCAAAGAGGACAAAGTGGCCTGGAGATGAAGGGGAAGGTGAGCCAGGCCCCTGTATCTGCGGCTGGTGACCCAGTGGGGGCTGTGGGTGTGCCAGCCGGGCAGGTAGTAGTGTGGCCTGAGCCCACCTTCCCAGTTCTGCCCAGTGCACACCTGCTTGTGTGCCCAGGGTGTGGTCCACCGTGGGCTGGGGGTAGCGGGAAGGGATGGACGCACCGCTCCAGTCCCAGCTGTACCTGCCGGGGCTGGCCCGGGTGCAGTGGCTCCAGCCACACAGGCCAGATTCGAAGTCGCAGGACCCTGCCGGGAGCGGGCTGGTGAGCGGGCGGTCCCTGCCACCCAGCCCCGGGCACCACCGGTCCTGGACAGGCCAGCCTGGGGCATGGACCAGGAGCTTGGGTCCACAGCCTCACCTGGCCGGGCACAGGGCCCGTCGTGCAGGGCAAGGTCGTCCAGAGCCATGTAGGAGCGCTCCACGCCCGCCGCCACAGCCTCAAACACCACCTGCAGGGGTGGTGGGAGCTGGCAGCCTCGCCGGGGCAGCCCTAGGCTGGGGACCCCACTTTGGTCCTGGGCACTCACCCTCCAGGTCTTCTCGGCTTGCATGTCCACTCTGCCCAGGCGCCAGGCCAGCCCTCCGTGAGCACTCAGGCTGAGCACCTGCCGCCTCTCACCGTCTTCCACGTGGACCCGCAGCGTGCCTGCCCACCAAAGGCCCACCCTGGTCAGCCACTCAGGGGAGCTGCCCTTGGCTTCCGAGGCCTGCCCCAGCCTGGGGGCACTGGGCCACGCCGCTTCCACAGCCCTTACCTGGGTTTTGGGGACTCAGGTGGTACCAGAAGGTCAGGCAGCTGGGTTGGGCCAGCGGCGGGTGGCGCGCTGAGGTCAGCGGGGCCACCTGGCCCTGGGACAGGGCGCCTGGGCTGGTGTCCACCACCATGTAGTGCCCTGGGAGGACCAGCGTCAGCCTGCCCGCCCTGGCCAGCCCTCACCCTCTGCCTGTACCAGGCGGTACCACGCCCAATACCTTGGGCTGTCTCCGTGGTGTGGTCTGCCCATGGGCCCCAGGGGACATGGCCTGTGACGTGGGCCTGGCGCCTCCATAGGCCCTGGCCCCCACTGGAGAAGCCACAGGCCGAGTCCTCAAAGGAGCAGCTCCGGGGAGCCCAGCAGGGGCCGGGCCTCACAGTCATGTCGTCCAGTGCCATGGTGCCGTGGTACCCGTCCCGGAGGCCCTCAAACAGCAGCTGGAGGGGACGGGTGTCAGCTGGCTGGGGCTGCCCCGCACCCCTCTGCCTGGTGTCAGGCTTACCTGGTACTTGGTACTCAGCCCGGGCTGGTGGTGGAGGGTCGCCCAGGCCTGGTGCCAGCGGTTACCGTGGGTGCCCGAGCGCGACCACAGCTGCACGTCCTGCTCCCCGTCCCTCCTCAGGGCCAGCCGTAATGTCCCTGCAAGGAGGTGGGATTGGAGGGGATCGGGACCCCAGCGGAGCCCCCGACACGTCTCAGACCCCGGCAGCGCAGCTGTGAGCTCCAGGGGGCTCACCGATCTGGGGTCCGTACAGGTGGTACCAGAAGCTGAAGCACTCCTCGGGGGCCGCCGGCACCTGCGGGCCTGTGAGCAAGTGGGCTCCTTGGCCCTGGGCAGGAGGGTCTGTGGGGTTCAGGAGCATGTAAAAGCCTGAGGGGGGACACGGCTGAGCTGTAGAGTGAGCTCCTCCAGACCCTGGCCTGGGAACCTCTGTGTTTGAGGCCCCCTAAGCCCAGGACCCCAGAAGCTTGGGGTGACCCACCAGTCTGGCAGCTCCTCTGCATCTGAGGCCTCCCCCCCAAATCCAAGGGCCTCCAGGGTCTGGGGTCTCCTGCATCTGAATGACCCCTGGGTTTGGGGTCATCCCTGTGTGTGCGGGACCCCAGTCTGGAAGCCCCCTAAGGCAAGGTGTCCCCTGGGGTCCGGAGGCCCACATACCTCGTCCAGTGGTGTGATCGTATCCAGGACCATGGCTCTCTACCCGGCGCCAATGGGCATCTGTGAGGTGGCCCGTGTGCCAGGTACATGCATCCCGCTCGAAGTTACAGGAGACCTCTGGAAGGGTGGTGGGGTCAGCCCCCCTCCACCATCACCCTCCCCCGCTATGACGTCCCGGGGGGGGGGGTGAGCTCCGCAAGGACCTTGGTCTTTCCTGGTGGTCACTGTGGGGCTGCAGTCCTTCAGGGTCACGTTGTCCACTCCAGCCCCCTGCTGTCCGGGGCCGTCCAAGTCCAGCAAACCAACAAACTCCAGCTTCAGCAGGTAGAGAACCATGTAAGTCAGGGCCAGCTCTGTGAAGACCCCCCACCCCGCCCCCAGCCAGGGCTTCGCGCCTCACCCGGAAGGGCCGGTGCCGTGCTCCCAGGAGGACCCTGTCCACTGTCCAGCTCCCAGAGCCGCTGCCTGGGGCCTGCCACACCAGCTCCCGGAAGCCCCTCTCCACCACCACGAGCGCCAAGAAGCCTGGTAAGCACAACGGGGGTGGTTCTTCCCACCCCTTCCACGCAGGGACTCACTGAGGCAGGGTGGCAGGTGGGTGGTACCTCGGGGGTGGCCGTGGAAATAGTAAGCCATGCGGAGCTCACAGTGGGGGCCGGAGGGGCCCAGGGCGGGCGTGCGGGCCCGGGCCTCTGCCTTCAGCTGCCCCCAAGCCTTCTCGAGAGACAGGAAGTGCCCTAGGGGGAGGGAGGTCAGCCCTGTTTCTTGCAGGGCCCCCCCGTGGCCCAGGACCCTCTTCTGCGGGGTGGTCCAGGCCTTACCCGCTGCAGCGCCACGTGCGTCTCTGTGCGCCTGGGCTGGGAGCCGCCGCCACTGCAGCGGGCCCACGCTGGCGTCCTCCCAGCCTCCGGCCGAGGCCAACTCAAAGCCAGTGGAGCCTGCGGAGGCAGCTGTGCTGAGGGGCAGCGAGGGTCCTGGCCTCTGGACAGGGGTCTCCCCGGTCCGGGCTCAGGGCAGCTGTGCTGAGGGGCAGCAAGGGTCCTGGCCCTCTGGACAGGGGTCTCCTGGGCCGGGCTCACCACAATCCTGCTCGTCCTCGCCCTCGGCACACTGCGGCTGGAAGTCACACAGCTGCTCTGGGGGCACACACAGGTCCTGGCAGGGGAGGTGCCCCGGCTCGCAGTCCTGGGGCCGCGGCCAGGGGGGCTGGGGGGCTGGAGCCAGGGCCCAGGGCTCAGGCAGCTGCGGGACGGACGTCTCTGCGGAGGAGGGCGGGGCTCAGGCCAGGGCCCCATGCTTTCCCTGGGCAGGGCGGCGGAGCTGGGCTTGGGCAGGTCACCTGGTGCTGCTCTGCAGTGGCTGGACAGGATGAGGTCATCCAGGCCCACGACGCCCCCAGGGCCCGTCTCCCCAGCCAGGAGGATCTGGTGGCGGGGGGTGGGGGGTGGGGGGTGAGGGGCTGTTAATACATCCTTAATACATCCACCCATTGTCCCTGTGAATCGCTGGACACCACTTCCAGTCTCCTCCAGAGGGCACCTCAGGAGGGCCCAGGAACCCCTCTTCTGCTCTAAGCGGGGCTCCCAGGCCACACCCCTCAGTGGCCCTGTCCCTGTCACTGCTTGGCAGGCTCACCTGGAAGGGGTGGGTGCTCCAGATATCGACCCGGTCTCGGACCCAGGCCGCCCCCAGCTCCCCGTGCCGTCTTCGCAGGGGGCTGGGAGCCTGTGGGGCGCCCGGCCCTCGGGTCTGCAGGAGCAGCTGGAGGTGGCCGGCCTCGGACCCGTGCAGGTAGTAATAGAAGATGAGCTGGAAGGGATGCCAAAGGTGGCCCGGAGGGTCCCGGCCCCAGGCAGCCCGAGGGGTGACCCTGTCCGCCTCACCGCCTCACCGAGCAGTTGTAGGGGTCTGAGGCTTGGAACACCGGGCTGGACAGGACGGCAGGGGTGCCTGGCTTGGCCACAGAGGCCAGGAAGGTGCCTGGGGAGAGCGGGGTGGGGGGGTCGGCCGGGCTTGCTGGGGGGAGCGGGGGGGGTCGGTCGGGCTTGCTGGGGGGAGCAGGCGGGGTCGGCCAGGCTTGCTGGGGAGAGCGGGGGGGTCAGCCGGGCTAGCTGGGGGGAGCGGCAGAGGATGGGCCCGCCAGGACCTTGGGGTGCTCACCGTGTGCGCTGTTCTGGCTGTGGTCCCGAAGCGGCCAGGCCAGGCTCTGCGGGCCACCAGCACTGTGGTTCCGGGTCCAGCCCTCCGAGCGGCTCCACAGGCCCAGGCCGGTCTCAAAGTCAGTGGCCATGAGGTGGCCTAAGGTGGGGCAGGGCAGTCGGGGCTGCTGAGCGGGCGCCCGGCCGCAGCGGGAGCACGCTGAGGCACACCCTCCCGGACAAGCCCCCCGAGTTCTGCGAAGACCCCGAGGACAGCCCCGCCTCCCAGCCCCTGGGCGGCCCGGCCTCACTGCAGGTGGCAGGGTCCTCGTCAGAGCTGTCCCCACAGCCGTCCTCGCCGTCACACACGCTGTCGGGCGCCACGCAGGCCCCGTTCCGGCAGTGGTGGTGCCCCGGGGGGCATCTGGCCTGGGGGCCTGGGGTGGGGAGGTGGGGGGCCGTCTGAGCCGGGGAGGGAAGCCCTGGATGCCCGAGGGTCAGGACCTATGGGCGGGGGGCCTTACTGGGCAGCGCACAGTTCCAGAACGCCACGTCATCCAGGGCCACTGTGCCTCTGTGGGTGGCATTTCGGGTGGCAGAGAAGGTCACCTGCAGAGAGGGTGGCTCTCAAGACCTCGGTCGGGGCCTCGACCTCCTCACCCCCAATGCCCAGCCGGCCGGCCCCGGCTCACTCGGAAGTCGCCCTGGATGCGGCCAGTGGTCACAGCCAGCTCCTGCCAGCTGGGGCGCCAGGGCCCTGAGCTCTGCCACAGGGTGAGGGTCTCTGTACCGTGGGTCAGCTCCAGCCGCAGCTCAGCTACACCTACGGCACGGCAGACGACCAGTGTCCCCTCCGCCTTCCGGCCACGCCCCAGCCCCCTCCTGGCCTCCCGTCCCGGAGCTGCCCCTGTCCAGGGCCTCCGGGCCCTGCACTCACCTCCCGAGGCTGTGAGGTACCAGAGCCTCAGCTCGCAGGCGGGGGCTGCCTGGCGCAGGACTGGGGAGCGCAGGGTGGCAGTGGACGCCTCCTTCCCGGGGTGGGTTCCCACGGCCATGTACCAGCCTGGCCCAGGTGAGAAGTCGGAGCTCGCCCACCAGCACCAGCACCAGCGCCAGCGTGGGGGGGGGGCGGGGTCCGGCCGCTCTCCCCAGCCTACCCAGATCCGTGCCGTGGGTGTGGTCAGTGTGCAGCCCCAGGCCCGCCAGCACCGCTCCTGCTCGGTCTCGGAGCCAGCGGTAGCCCGAGGTGCTAATGTCCCGCCAGCCGCAAGAGTCCTGCTCAAAGTCGCAGCTGAAGGGCGCGCCCTGAAGAGGGGCCCCGTGGTAGCCTGGGGGAGCGGGCGGTCAGCATGTGTCCCCAGTGCGCACGCTGCCCACGCCCGCCGGGCCCTGCTCACCACACCACGCCTCATCCGAGCAGCCCAGGCAGTCACATGCGAAGTTGCACACAGCCTCACTGGGGCTCCTGCAGCGGCTGGGCACCCCCTGGCCTGGGGACCCCCCTGCTGGTAGAACAGCAGCCGGGTGGGTGGAGGACCCCCCTAGGACCCCAGGCACCGCACCCTGCCCCAGGGCCGACCCCAGGCCAGGCAGGGTGGGCCCATGATCGGCCAGCGGGGCTCACTTTCCCAGCCCGAGGCTGCTGCAGTAGGGTTGAAAGTGTGGGCATGCGCAGTGAACACCGGAGGGAAGGCACAGGACTTCCTGCCGCCCAGCAGTGAAATGGAGGGGCTTCCACAGTGGCAGAGGTCCGAACCCCCAGCAAGAGGGGCAGCTGGAGGCCTGGACAGCGGGGCAGATGTCTACTGTGACTGCATAGTCCCTGGCCCGGGGCTTGTCCTGGATGGACCTCACAGGCCTTCCTTCTGGGGGACAGGGCGAGGGCGAGGGGTCCTACATCTGCCCCAGTGTCTACAACTGGTACCCAGCTAGCAGCGGACTCACCGAGAAGCAGGACCAGGACAGGTGGGAGGTAAGTGGCGAGGCGCATGGCTCTGCAGGCTGATGTGGGTCTCACTGGAGTGGCTCTGTCCCTCCTCTGTATAGCCCTGCGCTGGGCCCCACCTGCTGCTGACAGCCTGGGCGTCCAGTTGTAAATGTGTCCCAGGGGGCCCCCCCGGAGGGCTCAGCACTCACCTGCCCGACTAAAGGTCAGGCCTTGGCCATCCTGAACACCGCCCAGCAACCCCACTGGAGCCTGGAGGGCTCTGCGAAGCAGGGTGGGGGTGGTGGAAGCCACTGTGGCTCCTCTTGGGGGTCTCAGCCTCCCCTACCCTATGCAGGCCATGGAGGTGGAGGCAGTGTGTACAGCCAGCCCTGTGCTCTCCATCCCAGACCAACTCTCGGCCACCCCGGAGCGTCCCCCTCCACCCCACCCCCACAGGCGCCCAGTTTTGAAGAGCACAGAAACTTCTGGTTCTTGAGGAAAAGACCCAGTCAGGATGGAGGCTCATCAGGAAGACACACCACGGTGACCTTGCTGATGGAGCCTGAGCCTACTACTTGTGGACCTGAAACAGGTCTCAGAAGTAATCACCCAGAGAGTGGACTGTGCCACCTCTCAGTACTAACCACCCAGACAGCAGATGGTACCGTATCTCAGTACTAACCACACAGAGGGCAGACTGCACATCCTAGTACTAACCACCCTGAGAGCAGATGGTACTACGTCTCAGTACTGACCACCCAGAGAGCAGATGGTCTGGCCCGTGTGGTGAGGGTGCTGTGTGTCCCAGTAGCCTGGGACCCTGGCTCTCCCAGAACCATCACCAGGGCCCCCAGCATCCGGCCAGCTGAGTGGAGCTGAGTTTGTCCTCACCCCGTCCTGTACATAAGGAGGTGGAGGTGGGGCTGGGGCAGAGGCTGAGGCTCACAGGGTAATAGAGGATCAGGAGACCTCTGTGGTTGGGGCAGGCAGGGGAACCTGTTCTGGAAGCCATGACTGGGACTGCGTCATGTCACATGTGTCCCTGGCTGGCAGACCAGGCAGGAGCACTGTGGACTGTGTAGTGGCCATGGTCAGCTGGCCAGGACCGTGGTCACCAGCACCCCTCGCTGGGGACATGGCGGGCAACCCAGGTCTTGACTGGCTGGGAGGGGCCATGTGCTGACTCCGTGTGCAAGGCCTCATGGGGCCTCCTTCCCAGATGTCCTTGGGGATAGCAGGTCTGGGCAGGGGTAATCAGGCCATAAACAGCGGCAGGCAGGGGCCCTTATCAGACCCAAGAGGCTGAGTGTGCATCGCCAAGCCCTGGGCCCCCCACAGGCAGAGAGCAGCCCTAGGGGGTGACCTAGGAGAGAAAGCCAGGACACAGTCAGAGACTGGCACATCAACGCTTTTAATTCCTGTGGCTGGTCTGAGGTGTGGCAGGGTGGCCTGTCACCAGCGGGTGAAGGGAGGGGTGGGGCTGGCCCCTCGGGAGGGGCCTCAGAAAGAGCAGAGTCCCGACCTGGCTGCTGACAGGGCATCAGTAGCCATCATCCGCCCATGTGACCTCGTAGTCGGGATACTTGGATTTGATCTTCTCCGTAGAGACAGAGTGCTGGGCACGACCATAGCCCTAGAACGCAGAGGCCACCGGTTGGCTTTGCCCTTCACATTGGGAGTCCACCCAGCAACACTCCAAGAACAGGCCTGGGAAGGGGGCCAAAGCCACCCCCCTGGGGACTTGAGGACCGAAGGGCTCCGCAGGTGCCCTGAGGCACCAGGAGGTCATGATGAGAGGGTCAGGGCTTAAGTTCAGCCACAGCACTGGGCCAAGAGCCCAAAGAGGCAGCAGTGAGACCCACCGGGCCTCTGCGACAAGGAGAGAGTGCAGCCCAAGGCAGCTGACCTGTCCAGGGCTCTGATGCAACCTGGGAAAGGGGCGGAAGTTCATAGCCCTTGACACCCGGGGCGACCTCTCTGTGGGGTCAGGGCTGGGGTCAGAATTAGGGTCAAGAGCGCCGGCATGACAGGCAGGACGGCACCTCACCATGGAGTAGCCATACACGTGGATCTTCTTGTCCTGGCTCTGGTGGGAGATGCGGCCGCCGCCCAGACACTCGCAGTCATAACCCTCCTTCTGCAGCTCGCCACACACTTTGTCATAAATATCGGCTAGAATGGGAAGAATGACCTCAAGCAGCGCCCTGGGCGCCCTGGGGGGCCTGGGGATCTGGGGACCACCTAAGAGAGCGGACTCGAGGTCTGCAACCCCCGCTCGGAGCAGCCCCGCCCCTGGCGGAGAGGAAGCATCTTCAGACTGGCACAGGCTCGGGCGAAGGGTGCTAAGAGCGGGCAGAGGTCCAGACAGGGAGTCAGTCAGGCCTCACCCCAGATGCCCCGGCTGTCCAGAGCCTGGCTTCTCCAGGCAGGCCTGGCAAGGGTCTAGTACAAGACACCGCCCACTAGCACCTAGCTCAGCCTCCAGCCCGGCCCCGGCCCCCGCCGAGGCCCCGCCCCGCCCGGACCCCGCCC